ATATATATATATATATATATATATATATATATATATATATATATATATATATATATATATATATATATATATATATATATATATATATATATATATATATATATATATATATATATATATATATATATATATCCACTATAAGGTGCCATTGCGAATGATAGGCAATGGCTTCGTGAATAAGTTTACACGGTGCATGAAATACGCGTTTTGTTATTACTTGAGGAAGATTTTATCTTTGTGCACTGCAGAGAATATCAAATTTTAAATGCTGTTCTTCATCAGCCATCAGACTACAATTTCGAATATATCCATGTAGTACAGCAATTGCATATTTTATCATTAACTTGTCTTGTATATTTGTACAGATTCACTATATGGTGCTACTGCAATTCATGGACCAAGAATTGGCGGATGAGTTCTATACAGTGTACAACAACACACGCTTCTCATTTCTCGAAGAAGCTGTGTGTCATGTAGTATATGTGCAGAAGATCACGAACGCTAAAAGCTCGGAAATGGATCTCAAATTAAGATTCGGGATTACAGGTAAAGGGACTATATAGAGATGCAAAGACTTCGACTATTTTGTACTTTTGCACGTACATATTGACAAGTTTATACATATTTACACGGGCTATTTCTCGAGGAAGCTGTGTGCCATGTGGTGTATGTGCAGAAGATCACGAACGCTAAAAGCGCGGAAATGTATCTCTTGCATTTGAGAGTCGGGATTACAGGTTGAGAATGTGTGTATGTATGCGTAACTGCAACAAATAGGTATCATGTCGCGTACATATATTCAGTTTATATATATATACGTGGCCTATTTGTCAAGACAACTGTGTGCCATGCGGCGTATATGTGCAAGATCACTAATACCAACCGAACAGCGGACCTCAAGTCGTGGTTTGCGATTGCATGTAGGGAATGTGTATATGAATGCGTATTCTTTAGCGTGCAGCAGGTCCCATTGCTTAATTTATATTGACATATATGTATTTCCAAATCATTATATCCAATGTCCGACTTTAGATTCTCATTTTTATCATGTGGTACATTCATGACAGAATTGCCATCGTGTGCTGTTTGTCTGGAAAGAATAGACGAGGGTGTCAGTGGCATATTGACTACACTATGCAATCACACATTCCACTGCGAGTGCATGAAGAGTTGGCGAGACCACAGTTGCCCTGTTTGTCGGCACACACAGCAGCCAGATTCTAAAAACGTCTGCGAGGTAGGATATTCTTGATTTTTACACACACACACACACACACACACACACACACACACACACACACACACACACACACACACACACACACACACACACACACACAC